AGCCGCAGAGTCCTGGCTCCCAGGGAGCCACACCTCACCTTGGCTGCGGCTCCAACACCCTCGGGGGGCCCCAGCTCCTGGTTGGGGCCTGTAGCTGTTCCTGGCGTGCAGAGAGCACAGGGACACGCTCCCACCTCTCCTCACGTGGCTCCAGCTTGAGCAAGTGGGGACAGGCTCTGCTGGCAGGACTCTCCATGCATCCCAGCCCAGCAGTCTCCTTGGGGCTGGAGAAACCCCCTTTCCTGGAGACATCAGACTCTGGCCACTGCTACTGGGAGCTCTTGGTGTGAGCTTTGCCTCTGCCAACCCCGAATGTGAGGAATGAGGGAAAAGGGTCATGGGGTGTTATAGTTGATCCCATCACTGCTTGGAGCATGGGGATAAGGATGCAGGAGCAGACAATGTCCCAGAGAGAGGGTCCCATCAGAATAAGAATGTGGCAGCCCAAATCAGGCTGGTGGTAATACCCAGAGCTGATTTTGTTGGGGGGCCAGGATGGCTGAGCCCTCTGCCTCCTCCCCAAGGCAGTTTAAAACTCATTACACCATTCTCAAGTGCCTCTCAGGCCTGGGGCATCACAGGGAGTACAGGCAGAGGTGGAAGATGGAAAAGCAGGACTTCTCCATCTGCTCTCCTGCACTTGGCATGGTGCCATGGGCAGAGAGGCCAAACAGGCTCATGGCACCTCCCTCCCTCCAGTCCCATTGGGCTGGCTCACAAATCCTCTCGGAAGAGTCACATTCAGGGTGAGCCACCCCAGTCAGGGAGTCATCACAATGCCTGGTGGCAGCTGGACACCCAAAGGTACCAGTTTCTTTTCCCCTAAAAGGGAAACTAGATGCACATGGCCAAGGGTGAGTTTGGGTATCTGAGTGATAGATGAAGGAAGATGTGGTGTGTGTGATGGGAAGGCTGTCTCCAGGGGAGCAACAAGTGGGAGGATGATAAGCACAGATCAGGGGCATATTGGTGCCTCTCCAGATACACAGATTCCCACCTTCTGGGACCGTGGGCTTCATGAGTCGGAGAGAAGTGATTTATGGGAGACAAGCCAGCCTGGTTGGGTTGGCTTGGGTTGGGTGAGTGATCTCTGGAGACTCCATCCAGCTAACACACTGGGGTGGGCATCACGAAGTGCACTAGGAAACTCACTCCTCCACTTTTGGGGGCAAAACAAGAGAACTCAGCCTGGGAGAACACTGTTTTGGGAGGTGTGCATGGCTTAACCTCAGGGACCAGAAGAACACAGTTTAATTTAATGTCTGTCTTTGCTAGCCAGGCCTGCAGAGCATCACTCAACATCCACCTTGACACAACTTCCCAAATTTGACCCACACATTTCTCAGGCCTCATTGCCTTGATCTGCATCTGCACCGAGGACTCTTTATGGGAGAGCCTTAAACAGTGAGTCAGCACAAACAGTGAAAGACAACCTTAAATGTGGCTAAAAACCACATTCCAGGCACTGCCAGATATATGCAAAATCATTTGTGCTCACCAAGACACCAAAGGCAAACCTCTGCCTTAACTTCACTGTAGTACCTGGTGTTAAAAGATCTGCTCCCGTGAGACCACACCTGGAATACTGCATGCAGCTGTTGCCCTCCATATAAGAAGGATATGGAACTGTTGGAGCAAGTCCAGAGGAGGCCACAAAGTTGGTAAGAAGACTGGAGCATCTCCCCTATGAAGACAGGCTGAAGAAGTGGGAGCTGCTCAGCCTGGAGAAGAGAAGACTGTGTGGAGATCTCATAGCAACTTTTCAATATCTGAAGGGTCTACAAGGGAGCCAGAGAGGGACTCTTTGTTAGGAACTGCAATGATAGGGCAAGGGGTAACAGGTTCAAACTGAAGGAGGGGAAGTTTAGATTAGATATTAGAAAAAGGCTCTATGATGTATGGGTGGTGAGACACTGAAACAGGTTGCCCAGGGAATTAGTGGATGCCCCAACCCTGGCAGTGTTCACATCCAGGCTGGATGAGGCCTTGAGCAACTTGATCTAGTGGGAGATGCCTCTGCCCATGGCAGGAGCTTGAGACTAGATGATCTATAAAGTCCATTCCAACCTCTAAAATTCTATGATTCTGTGATATTTAGGACAGCAAAAGGAGGATCAAGGCCACAAAAGTGAGGTGCTGGCCCTGAGACACATCATGAAAAGCAAAGGTAGGCACATGTCACACCTTGAGTCGGTTATTAGAAAGCAATCCACAATTTGGAAAGATAACCACAGATCTTTGTTTTATTAAAAAAAATGGAAGTAGAAAAATTTGGCTGAAAATACCAACAACAACCAAAAAAAAGGACAATAAAAAAATAGCACTTGCATGGGAAATGTTTGTTTTGAAAACTTTTGTCACTAGTGACAGCAATTTAAATCATCCAACAATCATCGTAAAAAAACATATTTATTTAAATTAAATATTTTATGCAAACTCGTATCTACACTCATTCAAAATGCATAGAGTCACACAAAAGAGATGGAATGTATTAGCTTAAAAACCAGTGAAGTTGTGTTTTGTTGGGCTTTTCTCAAAGTATTATTTGCAATTATTATTAATACATTTTGGGGACTGAAACCAGGAAATTATAACCATGTTACTAACTAATCATTACCAAGTGCCATACAGTAAACACTAAGATTAATCATGTCATATAACTGATTTAAAATAAAGCTTCATCTTTATGAAAAGGAAGAGAACTCGAACAATACAAAATCTGAGGAGGGGGGAATAATGGAAGGAATAAATCAATGTACAGCTTTATTACAAGCAATAATACACCAGAGTTAGGAGAGGCATTGGGCACTGAGGCTCCAAATGTGGAACCTTCACCTTCAAAGGATGTTTGATAAAAAAAGTGTCTGCTACATCATCACCTCTTGGCCAAAATGCTCATTCCAACACCTGTTCCCAGGAGTGGATGCCAGCCAGATCCTGCCTTTCCAAGGCCTCATCTTACCTCTTCCACAATGCACAGACTGAGCATGCTCAGGGCTGGATGTCCCTCTCCTGGCTGGTGTCCTATCTCCTCTGGGGTTTCCCAAGGAATGAAGTCCCCAATCCATGCTCACGTGGCAGGGGGACAGGGAGGTATAACCCCTGCTGGTGCAGTTGGACAGATCAGCATGGCTGCTGCAATGCTGACACCAGAACCCAAGAACAGCTCCCTGTGTGCCCCTTCACCAAAATCTTCCCTTTTCCTCTCACCCCTGCCTTTTTCACTTCCAGGGGGACTTCAGACCTGCCATCTGTGGGACACTACCTGACTCCAAAGCAGAGCTGGGGATGCCCCAAAATAAGGGGCACCCTTTCTGTGCTCCCAGGAGCATCTCTGCTTTGGAAGAGGGACTTGGCCAAAGGGTTTTGGCATTGGCAAGTGCCCCCTTGCCCCATTTGGAGTAGAGCACTTGAGGCTTTGCACTGGTGGTGACCCAACAACCAAAATCCTTTACCTACACCACTCAGGAGACTCCACAGCCCTCATGGTTCAGACTTGGTCACCCTGAGGGGTGGTGAGTGATGGCCCCAGGGAGCAACTCCTCATAATACTGTGTCAGGTCCTTCCTCAGCCGGTCCAGGCGGCCCTGGATGGGCTTCTAGGAGACACTGTAGTTATTGTAGTAGGTGGCTGTGGCATCAGCCAGGACAGAGATGAGGCTGTTCTCAGAGGCGTGGGAGCTGCCAGATGCCGGGACATGTCCATTGACCAAGACCCCACCATGGTGGTCACCATGGCCAGGGTTGTTGAGATACTGGTCAAACTCATTGCGGTCCATCTCCCCCAGGAGCTCAGCTTGGCTCAGCTGGTCCAAGGTGTCAAAGCTGTGGTGGTCAGGCGGTGGGGAGAGCTGGCCCAGGTGGGCATGGAGGCTGGGATGGGGCAGGGAGGGGAAGGCAGGGGTGTAGTAGCTGGGAGGAGGAGGAGGAGGAAGGGGAGGGCAGCTGGAGGCCGGGGGGATCATGCAGGTGGCCGGCTGCGGCATGGGGCTGAGAGGGTGGTGGTTGCATGGCAGGGAGTTGCCTGCATACTCCGGGGAATAGGTGGCACCGGCGAGGTGGGAGCGGTGATGCTCGTCGGGGCAGGGTGAGGAGAAGAAGCTCTGCTCAGGGTCTATGGCGTCCAGTGGAGACATCTCCGGGGGCGTGGGCAGCCCGTAGGGGTAGGTGTCCACGCTGGTGCTGTTGCTGCTGCCTGGAGCCTCCCGGTACCCCCGGACTGCTGGCAGCCCCAGGCGAGGGGGGTACTCACCCGGCCCCTCTTTCTCCCCCCCAGACCGGCTGGCGGTCCTCTTCTCCGGCACCACGTTCTGGTCCCTTGTCAGGCTGCCCAGCAAAAACCCGGGGTCCACCCGCTTCCCGATCCGCTTGACCTGCTTCTTCCGCCGGGGCCGGTATTTGTAGTTGGGATAATCTTGCATGTGCTTCACCCGCAGCCGCTCGGCCTCCTCCACGTAGGGACGTTTCTGCGAGAGGCTCAGTGCCTTCCAGGACTTCCCTGAAACGGAGAACACACTCCCTTAGCACCCGCGGTGGGGTGGGAGGAAGGAGCTGCCTTCCAAAGTTTGCAGGTACTCAACCCGAGGACAAGGTGGGGACTCCCAACAGCTGAGCTGGCACACACGGAGGACACATCCCACAAACCCCGCAGCAGGACAAGACAGCAGCAGGAGGGGGAACAAAGGGGCATCAAAGCCACTGCAGGTTACAACTCCCTCCATCCCAAGTCCCCAAAGAGGGTGAGCTCAGGGTTAGTAAAGAAATCCGGGCAAATGAAGTGTCCCAACTCCATGGCTGGGACAGAGAGCCTGACTGTGGAGCAGGGACAGCCCAAGGCCATGCCTGGCTGAGCAGGGAGTCAGGATGTGTCGCCCTTTAATGTGCCTCAGCCTGTGCCCTACCAGAACTAGCACCAGGGCATAAGGAGATCAGGACATAGTGATACCTGGCCTGAGCAACCTGGTCTACTGGAAGGTGTCCTTGCCCATAGCAGGGGGGCTGGACTAGATGGTCTTTAAGGTCCATTCCAACCCAAACCATTCTGTGATTCTACAGCCCCTCTGCTCCCTGTTTGATACACAGAAAATGTCTCCAAGACACATGACAGAAAAGCAGTGCTGGGATGGGGGGGGTTGTATCCCACGGTGAGGCTGCCCCAGGCTGCTCCTCAGGGTAAGGGGGAGAAACGAGGATACAGATCAAAGCGTTTGATGCCTTCCCATGGCCTGAGACAGCAGAAATAACACTAATAATGAGATGCTGCATGGCAAAGCAGCGAGGAGAAAACCCAAACCACCAAAGAAAACACCACAGAACTGTCCAGGGAAACACAAACTTTGGATAAGAGGTTGGGCAGCAAAGCTGTGTTGCAACTCAGGCAGCTCTTTCTCATGCTGTCTGGGCTGCTTATTTCGGTTTGCCCTCTTGGTTTGACATCAAAAATGGGATCGGGAAAAGGGAGAAATAGTGGACGGGGAATGGGAAACAATGTGTGCTCAGAATGGGTTGTGATCCCCCAAAAGAAACAGCAGAAATACACACACCCCCTGCCCCAGACCTGCATTATTGGGTGGGTGAGTGACTTTGGGAACAAAGTAGGACAGCAAAGACAGGCCAGAAAAATGTGGGGATGCACAGCATTCAGGATCCTTAGCACTGGCAGCACCTACAGGGTTTGCACCCAAGGGGTGAAAGGGTGTACGCGTGGGTGTCTGTCCCTTGGGGGACATCAGGCTTTGCAGCCAGAACACGGGACACTGCTGGGGTGTGCACCCCGCAGGGTGGGGGGTGGGTGCATGGGTGCTGCTCCCTGAGTGCAGAACTCCACCAGGTTTGCACCCCCAAGGCAGCCCTGGGGGATGTTGCCTCAGGGTGCTGGACCTGGGCAGGCTTTGCACCCCTACAGCACGGCCAGGTGGGTGCAGGGGTGCTCACCTGCTGCATGCTGGACCAGGTCCCCATCTGGGCAGGGTTTGCACCCCCAGGGCTGAGTGCATGGGCTTCTGATTTGGGGTACTAGATCCAGATAGGATTTGTACCCTGGGGATAACTAGGTGAGTGCGTGATGCCCACTCCAGGGCATTGGATTCAAACGGGATCCAATGGGATTTGCACCCCATGGGACACCTGGGTGGGTGCCTGGGTGCCCAGCCTGGAGTACTGAATCCAGGCAGCTTTCATACCCCTGGGAATGGCTGACTGAGCGCCTAGGTGCTCACTCCAAAGCACTGGATTTGGATGGGATTTGCACCCCAGGGGTGGCTGGAGAGTGCCTGAGTGCCCACCTCGAGGTACTGGATCCAAATGGAATTTGCACCCCCCAGGATGCCTGGGTGAGTGCATGGGCGCTCACCCCGAGGTACTGGACCCAAATGGGATTTACACCCTCCAGGATGTCTGGGTGAGTGCTCATCCCGGGACACTGGATCCGGAGGGGATTTGCACCCCATGGAATGCCTGGGTAGGTGCGTGAGCGCCCAGCCCAGGGCGCTGAGCCCCGACAGGGTTTGCACCTGGCTGGGTGGGTGCCCACCTCGAGGTACTGGATCCAAACGGGATTTGCACCCTCCGGGATGCCTGGGTGGGTGCCCACCCCGGGGCACCGGATCCGGAGGGGATTTGCACCCCATG